TCTGATTCAAAATGCTATTAAGCAAGGAAGACTGAAATTCAAGCAGAAGTCAAAAATACCTATGAAAATTGACTCTGGCCCGATGCAAGTTGAGGCCAACTTTGTAGAACCATTCGACATACTGATGGTCAATGTGGTAAATGAGAAAAAGAAAGACTTATCTGATCTGACTATAGACGAATTTGAGAAGAAAGGAGCTCTAGACGAGACTCTAGAAAATTATGAGAAGGAAAACGCTAAAATTTTTCCAAAAGTTGGATATACTCTATTGGAGTTTTTAACTCAAAAGAAAGAGGTTGGTAGCGAAGTTGTGCTGTCTCCGAAATATAGTGTCATTTTTTACAAAGCTGCAGCTAAAGCTTTCAAGCAATCTGAGATGAGAAAGCATTACCAGGTGACTACGAACCAGGTGATTACCAAGAATAAAGGGGTCCAAACTCAGAACACTTCTATAACAATACGAGATCCCTAAATTGCTCAAAATAGCAAGACTTTCATGCCCCCTCAGAATGTTTCAAACAACAAATGGGTTCGATATGTACCACATCCGACTTTGAGTCGATCAAAGTGGCAATTGGTCGAAATAGGTAGGCTTTCTCAAACAAGAACTATACCTTACCCTAAGGATTTTTCACATCCTAAGGTTTTCGCCCTAACTAGTATCCATAAGCCATCAAGGAATTATTTCCAAGCAAGAAGGCCTTATTATAAGGCTCCCATGACTAAGACTCAGTAGAGAAGGGCTCAGAGGAATAAGAAAGTTGACTATGAGGCTCAAGCGCAGGCCCAAGAAAGCGCCATGAGAAATATACAACGTACTCCAGTGAGGGTCCAAGTCAAGGCAACTCAACGAAAAATACCCTTCGAGACGGAAAACATAAAGATAAAGGGCCTTGCGATAGAATACGACCCAGATGACGAGTTGGTAACTAACGTATTCGAGTCTGGATTCGATGACGATCTCAAAGACATATTGGGGGTGGTGTCTGTATCACCTGCTGAATACGCTGAAGGCATCGGCGAAGGAGATGAGGATGATTTCTATGTTGATGAGGAATCAGATGATAACCCCTCGGGTTATTGCATCCTAACAAAGGAGGTATTTTCTGCAAAGTTATCAGGTACTTTCGAGAAGCCGACTAAAGAAATGAAGAGCCACATGAAACCATTATATGTGGCAGCTCAAACAAATGACAAATTTCGAGTGAATAAGGTCCTCGTTGACCCTAGGGCAGCAATCAATCTCATGCCTAGTTTCTTGCTAAAGAAGATCAAAAGGAAAAAAGAAGACATACTATCCCATAACATAGTTTTAACAGACTATGAGGGGAAGACCTCGAGTTCTAAAGGGGTACTGATTGTCAATTTAAAAGTGGGAACCGTGTCTCGAGCAACTATTTTTGTGGTAGTGGCTTCTAAAGCAAACTACAATTTATTGCTCGGAAGAGAATGGATCCATGGAGTTGGAACGATACCTTCATCACTCCATCAGAAGTTGTGCTTGTGGAACAGCGATGGGATCCTAGAGTATGTTGATGGAGACCATAGTTATTTTAAGGATGAAGTTAATATTAGCAGCCTTGATAGCAAGACGTTTGACAAAGCCTTTGCTAACATTTCACCACTCAGCATGACAGATGTGAGCGGCCCTTATTTTACCATGAATGTCAACTCACAAGCGCCCTATGAAATTCGACTAGATCCTTCATTGGGTTTTTACGGCTTCCAGAATGAAGTACTGGAGACCAAGAAGAATTTGAAATGTAGTAGGAAGGATTGAGCCTTTTGGCTCAAATTTCGGCCTATGTGGCCGAAAACAAAATAAAAGCGGCTCTCGAAGTCGCTGAGGTCCTAGAGGCCGATGAGTTAGATTCAGTCATTGAATACAAAGAAAATTTGGCTTAGTCGAAAGGAAGAATGCAACCTTCGAGGCTGGAGCAACTCTCGACAAAGCCTTAGGAGTTGCTAGCAATTGAAAAGATCCAACGCATAGAACGAAAATTCGGTCTTAAAGACCGATAATTAGGAAAATTGGCTCAATTGCATTTATAATGACTCACCGATCGTTTGTCAGAATTCATTTCAAATAGAACAAAAATAAAGGGAAAAGTCTAAAATCAGAATCTCATGAAAATTTGCCTGTCCTAAAAATATGTATATATATATATATATATATATATATATTTAAAATATTAAAATCTCATAAATCTGAGATATTAATATTTTAGGGGGCATCTATTTGGGGTAAGGAAAATTTTCTAAGTTAAAAATCATGTTGAAGGAAGCTATATTTCGACAAAATTTTAAGGGTCAAGAAGGAGCCTAAAAATAGGTCTAAACTTAAGAAGTATCGGAAAGTTGTTCAAGACTTTTTAGTTTCATATCAAAAAAGATACATTTCAAGCTATTTTAGAGGTTTTTGTCACTTTGTTGATTTTTCTCTAAAACTGCTCGAAAAATAAGACTGACAAGAAAATATTCTAAGTCCACAAAACTGATGGCTTTTTCGAGGAGTTTTGAGGGGTTTCCAAGTCATTGACATCTAAAACTGCTCAAAAAACAGGACTGACAAGAAAATATTCTAAGTCCACAAAAACTGATGGCTTTTCGAGAAGTTTTTGAGGAGTTTTCAAGTCCCCGACACCCAAAACTGCTTGAAAAACAAGAAGCGGTCAGAAAATATTCTAAGTCCACAAACCTAGCTGAGCTCCAGATTTCCTCCAGAATTGCTCGAAAAATAAGAAGTTGTCAGAAAATATTCTAAGTCCACAAACCTGGTCGAGCTCCAGAGTCCCTCCAGAATTGCTCGAAAAACAGAAATGAGCAAAGAAAATGTTCTAAGTCCACAAGACCAAGACAGGCTCTCAAAACTCTAGAATTGCTTGAAAAATAAGAAGTGGTCAGAAAATATTCTAAGTCCACAAACCTGGTCGAGCTCCAGAGTCCCTCCAGAATTGCTCGAAAAACAGAAATGAGCAAAGAAAATGTTCTAAGTCTACAAGACCAAGACAGGCTCTTAAAACTCCAGAATGGTTCGAAAAGAGAAGTCAAAAAGAAACTATTCTAAGGCCATAACATTTAAGGAGTCTCCTAGATTTCTCTCAGAAATACTCGAAAGATAGGAGTTTTGGAAAATCCAAAAGCGATTACCAGTAGTTATCAATATTCACCACTACGCAAAGGAGATCATGGGCGATAGCGGTTACGAAAGAAGCCCCAACGAACAACACGATCACAAGCAATCGTGGATAGTGAACATCAACAGTTGAAGGCAGTTACTAAGAAGTGCCCGCAAAAAGAGGAAAACGGTGATGATCTTCATGTCTATAAATACTCCAAAGCACCATTTCACAAAGGACGACTTTTTGCACCCAGACACCGCACCTAAACTCTCTGATACGCTGAAACCCTGCACCACGCCAGACACCAGCTACAAGGAGACCCACGGTGGCCGCTGTTCGCCGTTGTGAGGAGTCGTACGTTTATATTTCAGCATATTTACATTCCAGCACCTTTACATTCCCGCATTTACCTTTCTGCATTTTAATTTCAGTGCTTGTTGCTTGTATCTTTGTACACTGTTGGTTTTCCTTTTACTACATTTTTTTGTAAAAACATTTATGTTTAGTTCAATTCTGCCCATTTATTATTTCACTATTCTTGCCTAATACTCATTTACGCCGTTAATTTGAGCATCACGTTAACAACACACTTAAAAGAACCCAAAGAGGACCTAAATCCAGTCCCTAGATTGATCTTTGGATTATTTGTTTACAACTGTCATTTTTCACCGTAAACAGAGGCAATACAAACAAGACACTGCAAAGTCTTTTCCGTTTCAGTTTTGATTTGTGGGACTGTAATCTGCAACAAGTTTTATTTCATTTCAGATTTGAATTTAAGACACTGATTGTAGTAAAAAAAAAATAGATGGGAATTGATCACAGGACCCCTGTAACTGGTTTGGCAGAAAAGAAGTTTAATAGAATCATGAAAATTGATAGGTCAAATCATTAATAAGCATATAATGAACTAAAAAAACAAACATTTGTTATGCTGGTAATTATCTGTATGTACAGACACTTACATTATTTTGAAGTACTCGTACAAGAATTATGGGTAAGAGATAAAAAAAGTAGTGTTTAATAAAAAAATTTCTAAGCATTATCACGTCGAAGATATATATGAGTATGTCATAAAGAGAAGCACCTTAGTTTAGAAAGTCCTTATATTGTCAGAACTAATATCTACAAACAGGCATGCTACTTTAAAGTACACTAAACACTAAAATACTTGTAAAAGATAAAATATATAAAAAACATATATATGTTTAATATTTCAAACTTAAAGCAATTATAACTCTGCTAGGCATCTTACTTATTAAAATGGGTAAAATGTGCTTGATCTTTGACCACGGTCAGTGTTAATCTAATTACAATTTATGATCTAACTCGGAAAGAAATGACACCCTGAAAAGAAGTAAGTTCCAACTAGATTTATCTTACTGAAAAATAAGCTGAACATCACACCTACACACTAAATAATTTATAGCATGCATATCCAACGTGTAATATAAAATAATAATTATATTAGACATGATATACACACCAACTTCTTTAACCTAAAAGGACTCTAATTTACTAACTGAGTACAATCCTGATTTTACCTTTGGCAGCAGCCCATGATACAGGGCACCCTACGCTTTGGAAAAATAATAATTCATTAGTGAATAGATGATATCTATGTACAAGTGTGATCATCAGCTTAAGTGAAACGCAATTCAAGTACCCAATAATTTCCCCTTCCAGTGTTCTGTCAACAAATTAGCGACTCAACCAAAAAACATCAATGTAGTTTTTCCACTCTTATTTTCCTTGTACTCTACACATTCTTTGTGTTGGGGGAGACATTGAGTAAAACTTTGTCAGTGTTTTGAGTCCACAATGCATTACATGCCGAACAACCATAGCAGACTAAAGCACAAGGAAAAAGTAATTAACAAGTGACACCTCTTGGAACTGTTTCTATTGAATTTTGAGTCCAGATTCACATAGTACAAAATGAGGTTCTAGTCTATATGGACATAAGAAAAAGCCAATCATAGCTGTTATTGCTCAATGATAAAGTCTTACCCATGTTTTAGACACAGTTTCAAAGCCTGTTGGGATTTAAGCTATACCTTGTTATGTTGTGTGTCTAGTGGTTCACAATCATAAACTCCCATGGCCATAAATGTACCTTATTTTTCATCAATGGATAGTAACTTGGTTCCAATTCATTGTTAGAGGAATTATACAAATTATGCATGATTTCTTAGGGAAACTAGGCCTTGAAAATGGGATGTTCAACTTACTGTTTTCTTACCTGTGTACGCGTGATTTCCACTCCATTTCATTACTCCTTTGATTTTCATTCTTGGAATATTCTAACATGAAACTTCAACATGATGCCACTGCTCTCGAAGACGTTTCTGGATTAAATTTTCTAAACCTTTCTTTGTAGATCAAATAGAAATATATGATCTATCACCCTTTTTGACATCAACCCAGGTCAATGTAAAATATCTTCAGAAGAATGAAATTATGATTGCTCAAAATGGGATGGAAGCAATCAGCGCCTGAAAGCTAGTTTCATCTGCTTCAACTTGATCCTCAAGGAATTGAACTATTTCCTCTGTTTCAGTCAATTGAACAACCAATTCCCTAGATTGATTAGCCCATGATATGCAATCAGTCCTTAAATTTTCCTTTTGTTTGCTGCATTCAACGATTGCATGCTCAAATGCCTTATTTTCTTTCTTCAAATTCACCAATTGCGCCTCGAGCTCTTCAATGGAAGATACAATTTCCTTGACCCTGAGGCAGGCTGATGAAATCAAGGCACTCATTCTTTCATCTTTATCCCTGGCTTCTTCAAGTTTCTTCAAAACATCCTCTTTTTCCACCTTCAATTTGATCTCCTTATTGCTAACCTCGTGTAATTTTTTATAATTTGAGGCTGCATTAATGAAGAAAATTCTGAAATTTTGAATGAAAATTCGATGAGCTGGTGGCAAAGCATCGAATTTCATCTCTAAGTCTTTGATGTAGGAGCAAATAGTCGATCTTTGAGTGTCATCACTGATTAAACTACCAAGGTCAAATTGGGTCAATAAATATTTGAGTTGCTTTTGTAGATCTTCAACAGAAGGGATTTGAACCTCAGGTTGTCCTGATTGAGTGGTGCATTTTTGTGCTTTCGGCGAAACAAACAGCTTCCCAGTCAAGAGAGTTTCACTTGCAGTAACAGGGTCCTTCTCAATCATCTTTTTGACTTTCTCAAAGTCCATAGGTATGTTCTTAGAAACTTGATTGATTTTGGAATTAGGTGTGCATACACTTTCTTGACTTTTACTCAAACCAGCCTCTTCATTGTTTAATTCTTTTGTTGCATACATTCTTTGAACCCCATGTCTTGCTAGCAATTGCTTATCTCTAGTTGTTATTATGATTTTGCTTCCCCAACCAAACCAATTACAACTTCCAGCCAATGCTTGCAACTGCTGTTGTTTGTCAACATCATCAAGAACTAAAAGAACCTTCTTTCGATTGAGCCTGCGTTTTATTATTGACACTCCTTCATTGACATCTCCCAATTTGATATCCTTCTCTCCAACTATTTTAGTAAGCAGAATCTGTTGAAGATGTGATAGGCCATGCTTATTAGATATTTCTCTAACATCAGAAAGAAAACACAAACCTTCAAATCTATCACCAATCAAGTTGTACACTCCTCGTGCAATTGTAGTTTTACCCATTCCACCAACTCCATGAATTCCCACCATGCTGACCCCCCTATCAGATGCATCATATAGAAGTGAAATGACTTCTAGTACTTGAGATTCAAGTCCATCAGGAAAATCAGTAACATGTAATGGAGTTCTATTGATATTAGTGGAAACATCTTTAATGATTCTTTCAATGTAAACATATTCATATCCACTCCTGCTCAATTACAATAATTGAATTTTAGTCAAACTACATAGTGTAGTTGTCATTTCATTCAAATTCGAAAAGGTAGACATATATGTCTACCAAAAAGAGAGGGAGATAGTAAATTTTAAGTGTAGTTTCCTGGGTGATGTTGCTTAATAATCAAATTTAGAATTTTACTTTAGTAATATACATTAGATTTAAATACAATTTTTTTTATTAAAATAAACTCTAATTTTATTTGGCAAAAAGAATCAACACTACCTAAAGAATAATACGGGTTTTGTCCCATTATAAATAGTATATCTGCCAAAATTTTCAAGAGTAATTTGCAACAGCAAGTAGGGAGGTATTTGTACTATATTGCAACAAAGGCCAACGTAATTGCATTTACCCAAATTTTTTCTTCAATTTCATTAATTACCACTTGCAAAACAAAAATATCAGTGAAATAATATAAGAAAAATTAAACAGGTTCAAGAATTCAGAATTACCCGTGTTTGACCTCCAAGCCTCCTAAGTTAGCTGCTTCAAACAAAGCCAACCTCCACTTTTGCACTCTTGCTTTTCCATATCTTTCCTCATGCCTAGCCAGTGCTTCGCCATAGCTCCCTTTCTGAAGTCGAACTTGCGATGGATCCACATAATAAAACACTGGCCAAACTAATCTACCTTCTCTCTTAATGTACTCAAGGATGAGCACAAGTTCATCTAAACAGTATACGGATGAGGCATAGTTTTGGGAGAAAACAGTTATGGCCGTCCTTGATTCTTTGATGGCTTTGAAAAGAGAGGGAGCAATTTCTTCACCTCTCTGAATGCCTTAATCATCAATAAAAGTGTGAATCCCCCTTCGACAAAGTGAATCGTAGAGATACCCAGTAAATCCAGCCCGTGTATCTTCACCTCTAAAATTGAGGAACACGTCATAAGTCCATTCATAGAAACAAGAGTAACGATGTCGTTGAATATTCATAATAGATAGTCAATAGCTAAGGAAGCAAACTTGGCACAGAGGAGAGAAATACACTGTGATGTAGGAATAATATACCGAGTTTCAGATTGACAAAGGTGAGAAATATACTAACTTCATACCTATGTCACACGAATACAGGCAGCTAATATAATATATGAAAACTTTGGTAGATTGCTGTGAAAAGAGTCCTAATAAAATAATTTAACACATCTTACCAATAAGTGTTAAAGTGTTTGATTATGGGCTATTGAATTTGACTTCCCGTTCATATAGGACAGAGGAGGTTCTTGCCAACATGAAAGCCATTGATTTATGTTATTGATATGCTTCAGGAACGTTTTTTTCAAGTCAAAGATTGTTTGTCAATAAGTCCTATTATCTAGGAATTTGTTAGTGACATGAGTTTTCACCATTGATCACGCAACATTAGTTTTTCTTTTAAGTTTTTTCTTCTATAAATGTATCGGATGATGATGAATAAAATATATCAACAGAGCATATCGGTTTCTCATTCTCTCATACTCGTTACTTCTGATTTTTCATTCCTTTTTAAGTCTAAAAAAACTATTTAGACGTAAGCCGTTTTCTCATCAATGGGTGGCAACTCCAATTGATTATTTGAATTTTTCAAATCTCGGCATGTTCTCTTTAGCCTTTGCTTAGAAAAAGAGGGAGGAAAAAAAAGGCTTATGTGACGATAATAATTGTTTGGAAGATTTTAGATGAGGAGATAGAGGTTTTATAAATCCTCCTAAGCTTATACTTCTAAGTTTCTCTAATTTGAGATAATTTTTATTAACATTTCTTTCTTGTGTTTTCTCTCCTCTTTTGTCTTTCAAATTCTTTCCTTCTCTCTCCCTTAAAACTCCTAAACAAAGACTCAGAAAAAAAAAATGAAAAAACCTTAAAATTAGATACTTCCCTCCAGTATTTCATTCCTATACTTTCCTCCGGTATTTCATTCCCTGGAGCTGCATACCGATAATATTTGAGGTACAATTGTTTTTCTCTTCAGATGCTTAACCTTCATTTTTATTTGTTTTTTCACCAACACCTGTTAGCATCAACAATCGACACTAGGTGGTTAGAGGCTAATTTCTAAGTAGCCACATAAACACCGCTTACTAGTATTATATATATACACAAACTTATGTCATGAACTTGACTGGTTTCCCACTCTTCATTGCCTTTATCAAATAAAAAATTACCGCAAGCTTCAACTTGAGGAGAAGAGACCCTTCCATGTCATGGGCTAGCAATAATAGATGGAGAAGGGGTTGATAGTAGCTCATCAACTTTAGCTAGTTTGCACACCTGTTCTCTTTCTTGATTTTCGATATCCAACACCCAATTTATTAACAAATCTTCATGATTTCCAGCAACCTCAACCTATAAGCATTATATATTTACATTTAGAGCAAATAATGTTAATTTGATAAAAATCCAACACACCAACAAAAGAACAATTGGCGATTCTCACTCCTTGCAGGCACAATATATCTCTACGTATGAAAAACATACAAGCATTCATACAATATCAATTAACATTGAAAAGAAAGACTAATATCAATTTATATGTTGTTTTTATACCATAAAAATGAGCATGCATAATGTACTTATGTAACTAGCTTGTTCAAGTTTCTTTGGCTTTATCTAATTTTCTTTCAATGTTTCATTTATTCCTTTCCATCAAAATGTTTGAAAATTAAATATAGTAAAGATTTTGTTGGTTTTTTCAATCTATATTTAGTTACTATTACATTTCAAACATTTAATATTCCTCTTTCCTTCTTCTAAGAATATCCTAAGATTTGAAGAAGATTGCTCTACTATCTGTTATGGCAGTTTTGCTAGTCTAGATGTGCCACTTCCACAGGGTCCTCTCTGGTAATGAATAATAATCATATTAATTATTAATTTAATTCTTAAGTAACTGTCAAATATTAGTGCACTTAATCATTGTAGTTATGAGTCTACACACTCAAATTACATGGAATATCAAATTGCTCAAAACTCTTTTAGAAATAATAGGGCCTCAAATAATACTAAAGTCAAAGTTATCTTTAATTACCTCCACATCCAGCTAGACCATGTTTCGGAAAAATATTTGGTAACATAAAACAAGCACATTTAGAATCAACAGTAACACAATTTTAACAAAAAACCCAAAACAATGAACAAAATTTGAAAAAAATAAATAGGAGATGAAAACCCAAACAAAATGAACCACATAGTAAGATAAAAAAAGCTAAAACAAATATGTTTGAACACACTCATTCATAAAGAAAAGAACTTGTAGCACCCTCATTTTTTTTATTATTGCATATTTATTTTATTTTATTTTTAAATTGAAAAAATTTAAAATTTTTGAAAATTGCAAGGGATCTCACTTAAGTAAGACTGGTTATTTTGGACCACTCGTTGTAGAGCATTCTCGCTCAGACTAGATGAGCAAGAATGGATAGAATTCTCCAACTATTCTTTCACCCAGTAGAGAAAGTACAGAAAAATGAGAGCTCTCTAGATCAGGTCTTGCTCAGACAAGAAGACATCTCGCTAAATTTTAAACTAATTTATTTATTTTTATTTTAAAACTGATTTTAAATTTTGATTTAATTTAAAACTGGTTTAAAATTTGGTTTTTGTTAAAACCAACTTTAAATTTAATTATGGGTAAGAAAAAATTTAAATTTAGAAATTCAATCCATAAATTAACCCAACTAGATTTAAAAATTCAGATATTTAATGAAGCGAAATGTCCAATTCATGGTGAAAAAAGATCTAGATATATTTTTTTTATCTAATTTATCAAAACTAAATTTAATTTATGAAAATTAGTTTTTTTTCTTTTTTTTTTGGTTGGTGCTCTCATTTTTATTTTATGATATAGACAAAACTCTGTTTAAATTAATTTATGAGTTTTTCGTGCATTCCATAATTATTATTAAATATATAAACTCTAAGCAACTAATCTTTTTAATTTAAATTTTAAGCGATTAGTTTATTGTAATATCTTTTTTGTATTTTTATTCAATTTTTTAAAAACATTAAACTTTAGTATTTGTATTAGCTAAAATAAGAATCGATCCAGTACTGCCACAATAAATAAGTATAAATAAGTAATCTTTGTTTTAGATAACCTTTTAAAGTTGTGTTTGAATTAAAAAAAATAAATTAAAAGTACTTTTCTAAAATGTATTATTAACTAAAATTAAATTTATATTATTAATTTTTATTTTTATAAGATTTAATTTAAATTTTTATCATTAACTCTATTTATTAAAAATAAGTTAAAAACAATAATAAATATTTTATAAACTTCAATAAAATATAATATAATTAATAAATATTATTAAAATCTTCTTAAAATGCATTAATTTAATGTAATTGTGCGTATAATAAATTAGTTTTACCTTAAAAACTAAATTTATAAATATATCAAAAATTATTATTGTCTTAAAAATTAAATTTAAAATTAGATTTAAAACTAATTTAACATAAAATTAAATTTAAAACTAGTTTCAACAAAAAATAAATTTTAAACTAAATTTAAATTGTAAAACTACTTTTAAATTTATTAAATAAAATAAAATAAAATAATTTAAAATTTAATCCGTATAATTAATTTGTGTAGTAGATATATGATAAAAAGTAAAATATATGTAAATATTTATTAGTTTAATATAATATAAAAATAAGAAATATTATATTATTAATAGATAAAAATATATATAAATATAATTTTATAATAGTTAATATGAAATTTAAATATTTTTTAATATAATAATTTATAATATAAAAATGTTTATAATATACTTTTACTGGATTTAAAATCGATTTTAAGCTAAATTTAAATTTTAAAACCAAATTTAAACCAGAAAAAATTAAAATAGATTGTCCAAAATCCAATTCATATATTTTGATTTTAAATATATTTAAATTGATTTTTTGAAAATTCAATCCATGCACACCCTTAAATCTAATGTTTTATATTAAGTTAATTTTAAATCTGGCTGTAACTTAAATTACTTTTAAATTTAATTTTTAAGACAAAATTAATTTCAATAGATTTGTAAATGTAATTTTTAATATAGAACTACTTTGTTGTAATGCACTATTGCATTATTAGTACATTTTAAAAATATTTTAGTAATTTTTATTAATTTTATTATAAAATATATTATTTTTAAATTTTATTTTCATTAAACAGAGTTAATGATAAAAGTTTAAATTAAAACTTATAAAAAATTTATTAATATTAAATAATGATAAAAATTTTGTTATAATATTTTTTAAAATTAAAAACATAAATTTAAATATAAAAATAATAACAGTAATTAATTCAAAATATTTTTTTATTTCTATTTCTTTAATTTTATAATTATATTATAAAATATATTATTTTAAATATTTTATTTCAATTATAAAAATTAAAATTAAGAAAAAATATTAATTATAAAGTATAGTCATGAAAAATTTTTGTGAAATGTTAGTTGTAAATTTTAATAAAATATAAAAAATATCAGTAAAAATTTTTGTAAATTTTTTATAAATTTAGTTTTGAATATAAACCCAAAACCTTAAATATCTCCATGCACAATATAGGTTGGATAAAAAAAATCTAATTTTAGAAAGTGGATTGAAAATATTAAATCAATTATAAAAATATGATAAATAAAAAAATTAATTTAATATAAATCCAGTTTTTAAAACTAACCTAACATTAATTATAAATTGGATTTACACAATAAGATTTTTTTGCCTAGAAATCATCTAATCTTTTGTTACTTATTCAATTATTGAGGCATTTAAAAATCAAATATAATTAGAGGTTACAAGCATAATGTACGATGTAACACCATATTTGCCAACATATTCAATCATCATCACAATATCATTCAACATGTTATTCACGCACATTTTTAACTATTCACATTATCTATTATCAATCAATGACATGTCAACATATAGTTTCACCCACATTCTCAATCACATCACCATATTCACTTTCACACATGACACGTAGGCCCACATTCAATTACATCATACTCAACATCCAATTTTCGTATAGACTCTACCATAATCAAGCCATTTCATCACACACATGTCCAATATTCATTTCATCATGCTTAATCAAGAATATTTCATCAAAACACGCCTATCCCTATATTCTACTTCAACCATATTACATTATCTATAAACATAGACGGATTAAAGACACAAAGAGATAGGGTAAAGTCCTCCTTTACCTTGAAATGAAGATCCAAACACAAAATCAACGATAAACGTGCTCCCTAAACAGATTTTGTCCTAAACACATGGAAAACTCTATGAGAAATTAAAAGAATAAGGAAGAAGGACAAAAATCGAAACCCTAATTCTTAGAACTCACCTCCAAACGCTTCAATCGCAACCTCAACCTCCAATCTTACACTCAAACGGCTTTGGAGGTAGTTTAAATGGTGAAATATGGTAGGAAGTCAAGAGAATCAAAGAGAGTGAGAAATGAGCTTCCCAAACCCTAAACCCCTCAAATACCCTTTTGGTCGTGATACTCTCGTTACAGCGAGTCATCTCTTGCTGCAGCGAGGTTCCCTCGCAGCAGTGACACCCCTCTCGCTACAGCGAAAATCTCAGAGGAAACTGTACCCTGGTTTTTGTAGAATCTCGCTACAACGAGACCCTCTCGCTACAGCGAGATTGTACCCAGAAATGCACCCCTCTCTGTTGCCTTCTCACTACAGCGAGAACACAATAGACGCACCCCCTTCACCTAGGACACTTTCGCTACAGCGAGAATGCCTCTACAGTTCACATTTAGCCTATTTTCAATCCAATCCCAATCATACTCAATAATTTCAATTCAACCATAAACTAACATATACACTTATACTCATATTCACATATTCATACATGTCCACATCATCACATACATATTCACATCATCATATAAATATTAAATACACATTCAAATAGAACTTCACACTTTATATTAATATAAAACATTATTGCAAAATTCTGGGCGTTACACATGACATGTAGTCAGGGGTTTTAATGTTTGAATCTAAATTTAACTTTTGTGTGTGATTAGTATTTATCCTATTACGCATAAATATATGTTATAACATAATCTTAATTAATTATATCGTTAGGCAGTTGTACCTTGATTAGTTAATGAATCTATAAGATAAAACGAGACAAAAGATTAGGTAGACCAAACTAATTTTTCTCTTTCAATCATTATTAAATTAACAAGTTCATAGATATTTTATATTTTCTTGAATTAATATCTTATATGACAATTGTAAATGTTAGTTTAGAGAAAAGAATGTTAACATTTCATGACTATTAAGTATAGATAGTATTTGTATGAATGATTAATAATCACAAAAAAATTAGATTTAGAGTTAAACAGAAAAATAATATAAAAATTGAATAAGAAAACTCATATACTCTAAGTTTTTTTCTTATAAGTTCAATCATGACGTGCATCATGTTACTTGTTTTTTATTCATAATTGATTTTATAATTAAATTTTTATTTTTATTTAATTTTACATTCTTTAAGATCAAACAATTGAATTAAGAAATTATTAATATTTAGAACTAATTCTTATGTGAAGATTATTTTAGGAACTTAATTTAAGAACTCTATATTACTTTTCAATAGATACACTTACCTATTAAACACATTTCCATCTAAATGTTCAAAATTTGGTAGTTAAAGCAATAATTATGCATAAAAATTTAGTGAAGAAATTGACTTTTGTGAAGCCTGCATGACTTGGCTGTAAAAGCTTACAGAATTCAGCTTGAACAAGGTAGCATGCACATGGATTTCACGTGCTTCATGCTAGACCATGAATTAGAATTTTGGTGGGGTTTTTTTAACATAAATCTCTTGGTTTTTGCTCTTCGTTCTGTGGTTGCACCTAAGTAGTAAAAGTTCACATTTTCTTGGCTGCATCAAAGGAAAGATCGGAAACAATTTAGATTAAAAGAACAGGGGGTGTGGTAGCTAGAGTATCAACATACATTGGAGGCAAAATCATGTGGTCAGGGTTCATTTAGGATTCAAGTCTTTAAACTTAAAGGTAATAAAGTGAGAATATAAAATTCTTTAAATTTTGAAATGTACGAGACTAACACAAATTTACCATTTTAGGAGCGAACAAGTATTCCCATGGTTTGGGACCAAGTGTTTATGACACTCAATCTCCTTGCATTTGAATATTTCAAGAAATAGAGCCTAGAAATCACTAGTTTTACATTGTTGCTGATAAACTTTGTAAAATATATATATATATATATATATATATATATATATATATTTATAAACAAAACTAAAATATGTAATTAATGAAAATTTTAAAATTCTAAGATAATGATTTAGAAACAAAACTCTAAGATTAGATTTTAACACCTTTATTAGAAGAATGAAAACTTTAATAATAATCAAGGAAGTAATTTAAACAATGTTTATAACTAAAAAAAATCCTTATAATTTTTTAAGTAAAATATAAACTTAATTGACTACTTTGCTACTTTAACTAATTAACAAATACTTTTGAATATAATAAATCATTTTTAATGCGCTATAATCTAACTAGAAATAGAGTTTGAGTGATTATCATTTGAACAATATGACTTTACATAAATCAAAATATTTTTTTTAACATACTGGGTTGAATATAAATAATTTAATAAAAATATATAAAATTAGATCTTATTTGTGAAAAAAGAAAAGAAAAGTGTGCATAAGATAGTATGTTTTTTTATAAGTGATTCTTTGAAGTATGACTTGATTATTATTGAACAAAATTTTATAAAATAAAATAAAAAATTCTAATGTAAGGAAAGCTATATCACACACCTATGTATATATGCCGTAAAAACTCTATAATTGAGTTAAAAGAATGCTCAAATTACCACCATGAACAACCATTAAGCCTTAGTGTGACACATAGTTATACATTAAATAATACCATTTGAATAATTAAGTTATTTATCGCAACTCAAATAAAATAGGTAAATACTAATAATTAAAATTAAAGTAACCATATGCTCATTTTAAATATAAATTCAATAACTATTTAATAAAATATATTAAAATAACAATTTACTTAATTAAAATTAAAATAAATAATTTATTTTCAAAAATATAAATAAAGTGTATTTACTAACAATTAAAAATTAACTAACAAATTACTAAATCTAAATTAGCTTTAACAACCATTTTTTAAAATAAATTAAAATAATAAATAAATAAAGTATTAACTTGTTTCAGTGACATTGACTCATGATCTGAAACAAATTAAAAACTATTTTTAAAAAAATAAAGATCGTTTTTATTTTGAGAGACGATCAAAATAACAAATAAATAAAGTGTAATCCTATTCCTCTAAAGTGACATTGCCTCATGCTCTTGAACGGAATATAATTTTTTTAAAAACTAAATATCGTTTTTCTGAGAGATGATGCTATTATTAAAGTGACAAGAAAACACACTAATTCTGTGTGTCTTATTATTATTATTATTTTATATTTTTAGAAAATAATTTTTAAATTAATTTTTTTAAAAAAGTCAAAAGGTTAATATTACAATTAATAATACAAAAAATCAAGATAATTAAAACTATTTGTAAAAGAGTGCATTTTTATTAATTTTGATTAGTTTTAAAAAAATTTAAATAATAATTTTTAAAAAAATTATTAAATATATTTAAAATATAAAAAAATAAAAATATTTTAATAATTTGTTTTATAATTAATTATTTTAAAACTTATATTGAAGTTAACAATTAAAGAAAAACATTTATGAAAAAAAAGAGGAAAATTGAAAAAAACCATAAGCAATCCCTTCTCCAAAACCAAAAACCCAAAACCCTCTTCACAGTTCACACCCTGACTGTTAAGCTCATCCCCGGCGACACCGTAAGAATGCATCAACAGAAAGCAACGCGCATGGTCATCCTCTTCTCCCGAACCAAGCGCATCCCGAACCAAGCTCGGAGCCGCCAAGGCCACCTCCGAACCATATTTGACGGCACGCTGAAAGCAATCCGCGACCGAGGGCTAGACCACGCAGTGGAACGAGAAAGGAACCTGAAAGGCTTACTAACCCTCAAAGATCTCATAAAAAGGGAACCCTCGAAATCCCTCCCAGTTTCCCTCATCAAACACTCCTTCAACCTTCCCTTTCGCCCCATCGCTTTCATCCGGAGATACCCCTCAGTCTTCGAAGAGTTCGTTCCTTGCGGCATCCATCCCCACGTTCGCCTCACTCCCCAAACCCTCAGCCTCGACGCTGAAGAACAATTGATGCACCAAACTGACCGCTTCAAGCAACATGTCGCTGACCGGCTTCTGAAGCTCTTAATGATTGCAAGGGTTCATAAAATCCCCCTCCGAGTTATTGAACTGTTAAAATGGGACCTTGCTCTCCCTCATAATTACGTTGAGACGGTGATACCTGAGTTTCCCGATTGTTTTCGCATTGTCGATGAGTTTCTTGAGCTTGTTTGTTGGAGCCACGAGTTGGCGGTTTCTGTTTTGCAGAAGAATGGGAAAGGAAATGAAGATTTGGAGTTGGTGTTTCCTGTTCAGTTTTCCAACGGTTTTGAGATGGATAACAAGTATGAGAAGTGGTTGAGGGAATGGCAGAGGTTGCCTTATGTGTCTCCTTATGAGAATTTGTCTTGTCTTTCGGGGAGTAGTGATGAGTCTGACAGGTGGGTTGTAGGGGTTTTGCATGAGATTCTTAATGTTTTTGTTGGTAAGAAGATTGAGAAGGATAATTTGTTAGTGTTTGGTGAGTGGTTGGGGTTGAGATCGAGGTTTAAGCGGGCTTTGTTGCAGCATCCGGGTATTTTTTATGTGTCTGGTAAAATTGGAACCTATACTGTTGTTTTGAGAGAAGGTTACAAGAGGGGTTCGCTGATCGAAGATGATCCGGTGATGAATTTGAGGAATCAGTATGTTCATCTGATGAATAGTGTAAAAGAAGATGGCAAAGTGAGAAAGGTGGTGCAAGAAAAGGGTAGTGTGAATGAGTCTGATGCCAATGGCGTTGAAGGGATGGAAGGAGAGGGCACGGGTGATGCGGATAGTGGGGAGGAGCATGAAGAGGAAGATTGTGAAGTTGAGGATGCTGGTGAAAGTGTTGTTGATGATGATGAAGAGCGGTCTCGGAGAGGTAGTTGTAAAATTGCTTCTGGTAGAAGGGGCAGAGGGTTTGGGAAAGTCAAGTTGGATGTTGAGATGCCTTTGAGGAGTTCTCAGGGAGAAAGATTGATGCGGAAGCTTACACAGAAAACCAGAGAGAAAAGTCCATCAGAAGTTTCCAGAAGAAAACAAGTGCAAGGTGCACATAAAGATATTGAGAGCACACAGAGGAGATCAAGATCCTCTAAAGGCAGTGGAAGGTCATTAACCGGCAAGAAAACACCTGTTTTGTAAAGATTCATTTGTTTTTGGCAACTCACACTTATGCTAGTAGGTGGTTCCTGCCATTGGTCTCCTTTCCTGTTAGAAGTTTGCAAATTAAGATTAATTGTTTTTTGTATGTTTTGCTGTTGCTGCTGTTTCTTTTTGCCATACAATGTTAGGCCTTCTAGTTGAATGATGGTTGTGTCCTAGGTAATTGGGACAGTTTTTGGTGACTAGATTTAGTGGTTGTGATAGTAGCAAAATGGCTAACTATAGGTAGTTTAGGCCATTGCTTGTATTTGGTGCAAAGCACATTACCTTTTTAAGGGGGTTTCCTCACATATATTCAAGAGATTTGGTAGCTTTGCTCTGGTGATGTTTTCTCTTTTTTTTTTTTCTTGTTTTATTTTCCAATTTATTCTTTATGGAGGGCCTTGTTCATTGCATTCTTTGTAATTTTGTTGTATGTTTAGATGAAAGTCTTATTTTACAGACAAAATAAATACATATTATAAGTGTTTGAGTAAACAACATAATTTAATATCTATTCAGTAAAAACTTATCACATGAGGAGTTTATTCATACAGTTGACCTTACTGAAATAAGCTAAGAAGAGTGAGGAAAAATTTTATGTGTGGAAAATATGAAACAATAGGGGAAATTACAGAAAAGGAATTATTAGTAAAAAGTATTTCAGTATATAAACAGTTAAATATTCAACTAGTTAAGGATGTTCAAAGGGTTACTAAGAGGATAGGATACGCATCTGCAAAGTGTTGGAGATTCCATTCTTGGAATTAGCATCTCATTCATCATGATTGGCAAAAAGGTATTTTGATTGTATTAACATTTTTTTGTTATATTTCCATATTAATGGGAAAAGAAGAGAAAGGGGAGAGAGAGGTGATTTGCAGAATCCATGAAGTGATTGGGTGTTTTAGATAGGAATTGTGTTTTGTAATGTTTCTTGAGGGTTCTGTTCTATTGCATTGTGGATTTAAAGATTTGGTGAGGTTTGGTCTGAATTTTACTTGTGATGATGAAGCACTCTTTCATATGTAAATCATTGTTAGAGTATAAACAATAGAAGCCAGCTGATGAGCTATTTCATCCTTGGTTTTGGCCAACGAGCTGCATGACTGCCAGTATAATCCCATTTTCAGCATATTTATGGGTAATTACTATTCCCTGTGATAGTTCTGTAGCTTTTTAAAAATGCTGGGGCAGAGTTATCATTGAGGAGTAAACCCAAGCTTAGTTGGGGACTTTTTCATTTTTGTATAACTAGGAATTCTTAAGAGAAATAATTCTCCAGAAAGATCAACATAGCTTACTCCCTTAATGTGCTTTTTTATTTCTCTAATTTTATCTCCTAGTACTTGGTGGCAGTAATGTCAGGCATTCACTGTGTTTATACGAAGATGTATACTTCAATTTATTATAACTCATGTCCAGACATCACAACTAGAAAAGGTGATAAGCATTATACTCCTAGGAAAGCCAATAAACTTGGTGGAATTTCTATTGAGGTTTGAACTTTTGGTTTATGTTCACCTAATTTGCAAAAGGTGCTCTTTTTGCTAGAGCTTGGTGTGTTTGGCTGGAGTGTGATTCCATAATTTTCGGCTACATATTTCTACCTCCATATCTTCTATACCTTTTATGAGATAGTTTAAGAGCCTCTTGGTCTGATATGCTAATGGACTGATTAGCTCTTCTAAGCTGATGTATTTCTTTCCTTATTTAATGCTTAACTTGAATTATAGAGAGAGACTTTAGAATCTAAGAGTTTTTGCTTGAGTAGAAGTAAGACAAAGTATATGCATTTAATAGTAGTCAGTAGTGGCTGCAATCGTAGCGGTGCAGTGTGGAGCAGCATCCTGTCACTATTTGCCAATCGTGGCATCACATTTTGATGTAGCGATCGTTGCACTGTGAATCGTGGCAGAGAACAGTGAAAATCGTGGCCATGACAACCACTATTCCATGTGAAGCTAAAACCCGAATTTACCCTCCTTTTTGATTGTTGGACATCTTTTAAGGGGGGCAATCTTGAGATTTTCCCTCCTTTTACATAGCTGATCTTCTCCTTTGATGTCGAGCCCTAACATTTTCCTCCCATACTATTTCTCTTGCTTTTCTAGTGCGACATGCTTTCTATTCTTCTTGCTTCTCTTGTGTGAAATTGAGAGTCACCATTTCTGACCAACTTGTCATCTTCTTTATCTCCGTGACGTGTTTTGACGTGACCCAGATGTTTCTGGTCATCTTCTTCATCTTTGGCAAAGCTGCTGATGTGACTCAAATATTTTCCGGTGATTCAACACTCTGTTTTCTATTTCCCTTTGCTGTGTACTATTTATTTTCTTCTCTGGTTTGTTCCAAATTGGCCAGGTTGGGAAAGGGAGAGGGGAGGGGCCAAGAACAAGCATATCTTGAATATGGTCATTTCTTGCTTTTGTTAAAATGTGTTAGGAAGAGACCTCATATCATGTGGGTCCATGAAAGGAGAAATAAGAAGGATGCAGGGGATACTAATTGTAGAGTTATTAGTTGCTGTAATTGAAAATAACAACTCATAACATTATAGGCACCAGTTATAGATAGGGGAAAGTTAGCACACTAAAGGCAATGTTATGTACTTGGTTGAGAACTTGAGATAGGATTGTCTAGCCTTCCAAAGTGCCAATTCAGTGTATTCATTTATACTTATTCTCTGCTACTTTCACAGTGGTTAGGATTATTCTCATCCAATAATATTCATTCTTCATTTGATACTGATACCAATTCTAGCATTGGAATTGGTAAATCAGAACTCTGATTCATGGGGTTGTGGAAGGCGCATTGATACAATCAAATATCAAACTCAATATGAAAGAATGCCTCTTTATTGCAGAACCCTAATTCCATGCTACACCAATGTGGTCCAGATTAGGAATAGGAAGAATTGCACAATTGCACTGCCCTGAGGTAATTTGAGAGGCCTGACTCTCCAAAACAGCCTAGTTCTATTCCAAAAAACTCCCCTCACTAACTACTATAAGCTCTTATTTACATTGCTAAAAGGGCTAGCTGTCTTAATTACTGAATTAGCTAGTTACAACTTATGAGTTCTCCATTTTTCTCCTACTATATACATTTCTGAACCTATCAATACCCCCCCACCCCCCTAAAAGAGCCACCTTGTCCTCAAGGTGAAAGTTAGGGAAGGCTTCCTGAATGCTTGTACCTGTTTCCCAGCTATTCTCATGATCTGGCAGCTGCTTCCATTTCATCAAGACTTCTGTCTCTCCTGCAATATTTTTGTCTTGTGTCTAACAACTTGTTGGGACTGATTTCCAGCTCATATTCAGCAGATAACATAGGGGGTAAAGGCTGAGCTGTCCTAGTCAGGGGAATAGCCTTTTTAAGCAGTGATACATGAAAAACCCGATGTACATGACTGTTTTCAGGGAGTTGCAGTCTGTAAGTCACCTGCCCAAATTTTTCTAGAATCTAATAAGGCCCATAGAACCTGGGACTCAGCTTAGCGTTAGGCCTTTTAGCTAAAGACTTTCGTCTATAAGGCTGCAATTTCAAAAATACCCAGTCACCCACTTGAAAAACATCACCTCTGTGTTTATTGGCCTGCAACTGAGTTTGGTCTTGAGCTTTACTAAAGTTACTCCACAATTCCTTCAAGATCTCATCTCTTTGCTTTGTAACTGGTTGACTTTCTCAACCTGAGATGGAATAGTTGTCCCTTCTGACAAAAGTGGAGAGTCTTGGCCATACAAAGCTTTGAATGGAGTCATCTTGGTGGAAGCACTGTAATTGGTGTTGAACTAGAATATTCTGCCCAACACAACCACTCAGGCCGGTGTTTGGGTTTAGAACGTGTCATGTAGCATAGATATGTTTCCAAACTGCATTCACTACCTCTGTTTTACCATCAGTTTGCAGATGGTATGCAGTGCTGAATTTCAATTTGGTGCCAGCTTTTTTGAATAACTCCTTCCAAAAAGTACTCAAGAATATTTTATCTCTGTCAGAAACATTGGAGGGAAACCATGGACTTTCACAATTTCATTTACAAAGATATGAGCTACATCCACTGCAGTGAACAGATGATTGAGTGCCATAAAATGGGCATATCTTGTAAGTCTATCCCCTACCACCATAATGTTATCCTTACCTTGAGCTTTAGGCAACCCCAAGATAAAATCCATAGAAATGTCAAACCAGACCTGTGTCGGAATAGGCAGTGGCTGCAATAATCCTCTGCATGAGATAGGGTCTCATGCTTATTTTGTTGACAAATATCGCATTGCATAACAAACTCTTTGATATCCCTTCGCATACCCTCCCAATATAACACTCCAGCCACCCTTTTGAAGGTTTGGAAATAGCCTGAATGTCCTCTGGTAGGTGAACTAGGGAGTTCATGAATGATAGTTGGGATCCTTGAAAACTGTTTAGGCAGAACCAGTTTTCCCTTGTAGTATAATTTTCCCCCTCTCAAAGTATAATCAACATATATCTTGGGATCAACTAATAACTCCCATATTATGGTTTGTAAGCGAGTGTCCTTCCATACTTCATCATCCCAGTCCTCCCATTCATCTAACTGTAACACTGTCATGGCTGATACTTGGTCTACTAGCTTCTCAATCTCATTTTTCTGATAGTGAGGGTAGCGGTAGGGTCTTATAGTAGGTATAGATGCCCCTTCCTTCAAATGTATAGCATGGTCATGGTTTCTGCTGGGAGGTAAACCTTCTGGGTCCTGAAATAACTCATTATATTGCTGCAACACTTCCTCAATGACTGCAGGATATGCCACTGGTTTCTCAGAAGAATTGGTTTCTACTAATTCCCCCAAATACCCATCTCCCCTTCCCTTCAATTCTTGCATCAGTATCTTCATTGAGGTTTTGGTTCTGGACAAGGTTGGATCACCTACTAGAATTCTTTGTTGCTGTCCCTTCCCAATAGTCAAAATCAACTTTCCAAAATCAGCTTTAACCTCCCCCAAACTAGCTAGCCAATCAAGCCCAAAACTAAATC